ACCTAAAAGGTTGGTTGGTATTTACCATGGAATGCATGTTCAGTCACTCTTAGTGAGGGTTGTGGTTAATTTTTACTATAACTATTTTAAGAAGAATAAGAAGCAATTCCAAAAATCTTAGAGTTCTGAATGGTTTATGCTATTCTTTTCATTTGCATCGGAGCCGCTTGAGGGCTGCATCGGCAGCACCGCTGCATCTTGCGTGCGATGGTAATTAATGTGAATTTGAGCGTTTTGGTAGTTGGGATTTTTGGGTTTAGCAGTTTCAAGGATCTTCTTTCATGGATCTTTTGAATAGTCTTTAATTTTTTCTCCAATAATCCACGCTTATTATGGTTTTACAACTAGCTCTTTCTGCACTTGGTATCTCTCGTCATATGTAAGGTTGGCAATGGATGATCAAATAAAAATGGTTCAATTACTAAGATGAAACTCCAGAAGATATATGCCTAAATAAATTTTGGAGTTTTCCTTTCGCAAGCCAGGACAACCTGAAATAAAGAATGTTTATTTTGCTATGTCATAATCTTTCTCTGTGCCTGGGCGATGATGATGAAAATTGAAATCTCATCACATTGATGATGTTGCCCCATAGAGTAGAGCAGGATTCGTTTCTATGGTGCTTCATGAATATCCTATATTCTTATCCATTGACGATGGAGTTGCTTTGACGCCCGTACATGCCGGGGAACCGGCCTGCATCTATTTGTGTTTTACTGGGCAAGAGATGCGGGCGAGGGTGATTGCGAATGATTGAACAAGGGATCTGAGACGTCTATGGAACATTTGCTCTGAACAACAAATGAGCCCATAAGAACTTGTATCACAGATCAAGGTGGCCGCGCAATGAACCTATATTCTGGTACTCATAAGAGAACGTTGGCCCAAGCTCTAATGGTTTTAGAAGTCTAAAAGAAAACTGTCCCATATGAAGCATAAATCTGAGCGGATGGAGTGGCTTTCTCTTCTGTTTTGCTTCTAGCAGTGCTTAATGCTGATGATTTTTTTGCCCTAAAGCTTTGGGTCGTGCACGCTCTCATCTCTCTCCTCGTCTCTTTTGAAATTGGCATAGATGATGAAATCAGCATGAGAGCGATCATACCTGGTTAGGCTGTGTTTCCGAATGTGCTTAAGATATAGCAATGTTTCTTTTGCGGTGGTGCCGGGCAGCTTGATGGCTGATAATCTATGGGAAACGCGCGTCTGTGTGTCACTGTGTTACGCCAGGCCCCTCCAGGAGGGGCGGCCTGGACGGTCCAGAGGGCCGGTCGGTCTATTCCAGCGACGGAATGCCCAGCGGGAGCCGGTGCTTGGCGGAAACTTGGTGGCGCCTCATTATGGGCTTAATGCAGAGATGAGGAAATATTTTGACTAAGGGTGTTTAGCGTCATCTTGTAAATATTCCTTTTGTCTTTAATTAGGTGGTTTTGGTGTCTTGCCTCTTGGCTTCGCCGGAGATTTTTGGAGAGTTTTCCTTCTTCGAATTGAAGGAAGTTGTATCTTGGCAAGTGTTTTCATCCGTTATCCGAAATATAAAGTGTTTGTCGTTTTCCTACGCTTTCATGCTCAGATTTTTCTTGTATTTTGGCTGTTTTTTCTGCTGTGGACAGCAGTTTTTCCTTGGATGTACTGATCTTGGTGAGAAACAATTGGAATCCAAGTGTTTCCTTCCATCTGTTATAAGACAGGTGGGTGGATCTGCTGAGGATGGAAACAGGCGAATCTGAAGACCCAACTGCACTTTCTATGCCATTTTTCTGTAACAGATTTTCCGTTTCTGAGAAATACATAAGTGATGCAGTGATCTTCAACCAAAAATAATTTCATTCTAGTCTTTTAGGGGTTGTTCATGTTGGATTGGATTTAACTTTAGTGAGATTTTAGTCAATTCTGTAATCCAACTAGTATATCTGGTAGGGTGAAATCATATATTATTTATATATTAACACAAATTATTTTTTTTTTTTTGGCTCAGCCGCCAGTGTTGTTGCCCGGTATCACTAGATTATACAGCCCCAAACTGGAATGCTCTTACAGTATGAAGTAAATGCTTTGCTCATCTGCGAAAACTCATTTTTTAAGTATCATCGTTTGCTTCTGTGTATCTGTTGAGTAATGGCAACAGGCTGTGTCGTGTGTAGCTTGTGATAAATTTGTTGGTGATCCTGCTATGTTATTTCAGTAAAGGTGAATTCTTGTTTTGAATCTCTATTATGTTTTCCTCCTATGTTGATGTTTGCGGTTAAGTTATAAGGTGAAAGCATTAATATATATGGTAGGGCTATAACTGTGTTTCAAACCCAAGTTGGTCTGACCATTTATTTTCCTTTTTCAGTTGGATTACACAAAGAATAACCTTTAAGCCATATCTTTTTGCTTTGTCATTGATGTTTCAAACTAGAAATTTAAAGAGGATGTTATTTTGTGTATGGCTTTTTTGCTGGTGATATTCATCTTAAGACTAGAGAGGGAGTTGAGGTACCTTAAATTATGGATGTTAACCTTAGGTTAAGGTTTTCGCGTCGTATATCTAAAAAATGATATATGGAGTGTAATTTTAGTAGTAATAGATCTACTGAGGTGGATAAGCAAGATTTGGAGAAGTATGGGAATCAGTGCTACTGTATATGATTACCAAGTTAGATTAGCATTTTCTGTGAATTTTGTTGAAAAAATTTCAGGATTTAACACTTGATATAGTAAATTTGGATTTAGAGGATGGGTGATTGAGGAATAAATAAATGGACTATTTGATGGACAAAGGAGATCGAGTCATTGCTTGTTTGACTGCTGGGTTTAAGTGTATATCATGCAACATTCACACATCTCTTTGGCTATTGGTTGAGAGTTAGGAAAAAAGAAATGATGTTTACGACGTTGTAAGGTTGGGTGATTGATATGCAAATATTGTTTGAATGCTGTGTTGTAAATCTTAAAAACTATTATTTGATGTTTAATCTTATTTTGAATAAATTTTTAGGATTTTTTTTTTGTCATTGTAATTTAATTAAATATAAATTAGAGAGGCTTTCAAGAAACTGAAGTGGAAAGCAATGTTTTCTTAATGTTTTTCCATAGAGATGTGGAAATGGGGATATTTTTTGTAGCTGAGTTTTTGAATATTTTATGAATGACCAAAAAGGTTGTTGTGAGTGGAGAAAAAATGTGTTGGTGTATTAATTTTAAGGATAGATGTAATGCACAAGAGTATGGCGAATATGTGATTTAAGTGATGTGTCACATTAATTATAGGAGGGTAAGGCTTTTGTTTGAGATGGCTTTTTATTGCTTCTTAGAGAGCTTTTTTTGAGCCATGCGTTATGAATTGATACAATATATCTTATTTTTACCATATTTTATTAATCTTCTACTAATTATAAAACTTCTGTCGGGTCGTCCTCCAAATTTAAAAAAATTATTAACCTCTTTGGCTTCTCTCTCTATCTCTGGTTACATATTTCTCTTATAAGTATACTCCGCATCATTGCCGGCTGCTCTCTCGTTATATTGTTTTTGTTAACCTCGCCTGTCTTTCCTCTCTCATCTGTGGCAATCAAAAATTTTATAAAAAAAAAAATTTAGGCCCTTAGTCTACCGCTGGATAAAATAGTTATGTTATGTGAAAACAGAAATATCATCTTGTGCTCTTGGTGAAAAGCTGGAGCGGGCTGGGTTAAGGGCAATGCTTAATGAAGCTTATGGTGGTTTAACGAGCCGCGTCGAGACTGAACCGCGATAGAGTTCGAACGAATGAACTTTTTTGAACGTGCTAGGGCTACGAATTGTGTCTGAGAAACTTGACGTGCTTTGAGCCGAGCTTGAGCTCGTTTTTTGACAACGGAGCTTGGACTTGAACAGCAAAGCTCGGCTTGGCTCGAATTCGTTTGGCAGCCCTAATGATTCTTCAATTCCATCATGTGATGATCTCTATAATGATTGTGGGGTTTAACAGTTTACTATGATGCCATCTCATATATAAAGCGGTGAGATTGCTTCTTGATGCTATTTGCTATTTCTTACTCTTGCAATGGCAGAGCAAGCTTGGAGCCTTGGTATTGTGGGAAACCGCTGCATTGTGCGTTGGTGTGTGGAATAAATAATGGATTCTTCATATGGAGGAGAATTGAGTTATTTCTCTGTGCCTCTACTTGTGCGTTGTGTGTGAGATAATAATGGATCTTACATGATGGAAAGAGAATCTGAGTTATTTCGTCTGTGCCTCTCTTGTTGGAGGGATCTTCAAGAAATAAAGTTTGGTAATCAAATTTGACGTGTAATGATTTTCCAAATGAGATGTGGAAATGCTAGGAGATAATTTTAATGTGTTTGTAGTAGGTTTTTTAATATTATTTTGTTGCAAAATAATGTTTAGATGAGTGGAGAAAAGTGTGGTTGGTTTAATTTTAAAATTAAAGTGATGGCACAAGAATATGTGATTTATTAGATGAATTAAGCTTAGTGTAATTAAATTAGATTTGACTTCAAAGAATATTTCTCAAACATATGGATCATGACGGGTATGGAAGTTATACATTTGTTTGAGAGATTTGATGGAGAAGTATATTGGTGCAAGAGGATCTACGTATCTTTTTATTGATAAAATGTTTTCTGTAATCGATTCTAAGATGCTTTTTTGACTTTTCTACACTTTGGGTATCCTGCCCTCAACATTTATTTGAGTCAGTAACATGGTACCAAATTTTATGATTCCAGAATTTTCCTCTCAATGTTTGGATTGGGCAACGACGAAATTCATGCGGGAGATCTTTGCTCAGCTAATGGAGCTTGGATGGACGTGCATCTGCGGGCAACTGCCATTCCTTGTTTCTCTGGTAGGGAATTGATGGTTGATCTGCTTGTTGATTAAACAAAGGTGAATCTGAAGCCTATATCTTTACACTTCTCTATAAAATTGTTTTAATATGTCCAAGGAAACTACTGGACCCTTGTGTGGATTATTCTCTTAGCGATTTTGCCCAAGTTGGGAGTCAATCTTTTTTCTCCGCGCCACCGGAGTTAATCTATATATAAAAATGGAGGCCCAAAGACTCTTACCGAGTATTGCTCCACTCCCAAAAAAAAAAAATCAAATAAATAAAGCATGATTTATTTCTTTCTGCATCCTATTGATAACCTTGCACTTTTGTGTCTGTGTGCAGTGATTGATGAACCCGTTGGTGGATTTGCTTTGTTATGCAACAAAGGTGAATTTGAGCCTTTGAATCCCAATTTGTTTGCCTCATTTATTGATGGTTGTTTGTGTTGCTGGGGTAAGCGTACAGCAAGTGAAGTTACCAATGTAACTGGAGAGTATCCATTCCCATCTTGAGAGAATGGAATACAGCAGCTGAGGCTTAGCGAGAGCACTAACTGAAACTTTGAAGAGCTAAGATATATTGATCGAATGTGCAGCGACGACACTAGTGTAAACTGTAACGTTCTGCCTATCTATAGTGGTGTTGCAGGTTTCGTGCGAATAGCAGGCGGCTGAAGAGGGCAATGGTTGGAGAAATGGGAGAAGAGGAGGTTCCCGTGGATGAAGACGCTGTTGAACATGATAGTGTGTAATGTTTCTTCTGTTTTAGAAGATTGCAAAGTAATAGCTAAAAAACAGAAGCTTATGATCATGTAATCAAAACTATCCTTTTTTTTATATAAATCATTAATTTGATTGCATAATAAATTTTGTTTTAATATAAATCACTATTGTTGATTTCTTTCTATTAACTCATTACGAATCAGCTAATGTATTATTATATGCGAAAACCTATGAACGTTTGATCCTTATTTGATTTTCTTTTTCTATCTTGAAGTTGATATGCTTTGACCCACTCAGGAATTCAACCACCAGTTCTAGTAATATAAGCTTCATTGGAGTTTGAGCAGTTACTCGTCTTCTTCCTCTGTGAATTCTCCAGTATCCACGGCTTTGCTTCTCAGAACTAACTCCTAAAGATAAAGAACACACCAAGAAGACAAAACAGTTTAAAAAGCTCTCCTCTTTCCTTCTCCATTGTTAAAGAAAGCACAGAAGTTGAGCTGAATTTAAGAACTGTGCAGGGGATCACAGCAGATTCGGATTGTAAGTTTCTATATATACATAACCTAATGTTTTTATTCTTGATTAGGTAGGTAGTGATTACATAGTTCTGTATTTTTCAGTTTTGATGCTTAAGCTCTGAAACATTATGGAAGCAGCAGAGATGGTAAAGTGATTTATGCCTTCAATCAGAGTTTAGAAGATCAAGGCTTTCTTCTCTTTTCCATGTTCTGTACATGTATCTTCATCAAAATTGCACTTAACCTCCCTTTAAAAAGAAAAAAAAGGGAATTAATTTGGTTGAGACATATTGTTGTAATTTCATTGTGATAATGTGTTAATTGTTCTCTGCTTAATTCAAAGCAAGAGATCCCTGCAAGTCTTTAGTCTTCCATGAAACTTTTTTCCGAAGAACACCCACTGTTTTACTACTTATATCTCCAACGCACAGCGATTAAAGCATCAAAATCTGCTATAAATTAATCTTAAGGGTATAACTTCTATTTATATTTATAACAAAGCCCTACATGGAATCCTGTTTGGGTACATATTGGATACCAATCTCTACATGGGTAGGCGACTTTCGGTATGTCGTACTCATCCATTTTTCATGCTTTGACTTCGTCACAAATTGATGGCCTTGAGGCTTGTACTATGAATGCAAACTTTTAAGCTGCATATCAGATAGAATTTATCGTTGCCGCAGTGCAGTTCAATGTTGCCGTGCATCACATAGTGAGGATTGGATGTAATATATGGCATATGGTAATTAGCAATGTAAATTAGTTTATCATCCGTTGTTGAGTATTCATTCATACTTATCCATGAGATCATTGACTAACCATACACATTGGATATGGGTAATCCATACACATTGGATATGGGTATCCAATGCAGGACTTTGATTTATAATGATATTTAATAGAAAAAGATATCATTACTAATATCTCTATGTAAGTATTTGCTTTGTAAATTATCACATAGAATGGAAAATAGGGTAGTTACAATTTAAAAAAATAAACACATGCACACATTTTTGACAAGTAGTACAAATATGAAAGCATGATAGATGAAGGACTTCCAACTTTGGAAAATAGACTTTAAGAAACCCCAAACACATTCATTTTGGAGACCAGTACATCCTCATTAAGCCCATCCAAAGAATCTATCAAATGCATTCTGAGAGATGCTGGTCCGGAAGCCATTTCGATGCCTAACTCAGCTGCAACCCCAAAGATGGATAGGGCACAGGCTGTTGCCTCTAAAGCTCTTAATGGTTCGATCGAGATGAAGGCAGCGATAAGGGCGGTGACGGCGCAGCCAGTTGCAGTGATCTTTTGCAGCATGGAGACACCATTTCGGGCACCGACAACCATATGGCCATCTGTTATGTAATCAACAGCTCCTGATACTGCAACAATGGCACCACTGGATCGTGATAGAGATTTTGCAGCTTCCACAGCATCAAAGGATTGATGGGAACTATCCACTCCCTGAACAGAGGTTTTTTATGATTATCAATGATTAATGCATGATATAGAAGACTAACAGAGAAACTTTTTAGTTATTCCACACATAAATCCTTTTTTTTTTATTGGCATGATCTATTACTTCAGATGGACTAAAATTAATTATCATATGTAAATCATTGTGGTGCTTTTTCATTATGTTGGTAAACAATTTGTTAAGCTTAATCCTAATTCAAATCATAACATCCAGTAAGATACAAAAGATTTCAAAAAGGGAAAATTATAATGAAAAAATAAAAGGGGCGAGGATATCCTAATCAAAATTTAATAAGGATGTGTTATAAATCACTTGGATATGCTCTAAGATGAGTATAATATAAGAATTGGTTGACTGCTCATAAAATGCACTACTCTAAAAGCAAATGGCACTATTTTCTTTGGCTAAAATTTGAATGTTGTTTCCCATATTAGTTGAGTGTTTGTATCTCACTCTCAAAACAAGCTTTGTTCTTGAAAGAAAGGAGGGATGCCGCCAAACAAACAGTGAGGGAAGAGAGACCATTGAATAGGTAGGTGAAAGGGAAGAGAAAGTGAACTAACAAAGAGCAAGGGGAGAGATACACCAGCTGAGTGTAGAAGAATAAAATTCGAAAGTGGAAATCCTCATGCTCGAAATTTGTTTATATAACAAACCAATGGATTTCCCATGGAATTTTTAATGAAAATTGCATCACCTTCCTATGAAAATTTTGTCCATAATTTCATCAGTAACTCAAGTTTTTGCAGAAATTTTCACTTTTTTCCTATAAAAATTCTATCAAAATTTTGTCAATGACTCAGTTTCTTATAGAAATTATATTGAAAGTTTTTTTGGAAACATGACAAAATCATTGTCAGTTTTTTTATGAAGTTTTAGTTTCTGACGGATAAGTTACAATGAAATATTCATGTTTATGATTGTTGATTGTTACATAAATCTTTATTAAAAGGGGGTTATACACACTATATACAAGCTCAGCAGCAACACATGTGCTATCACATGTGCACATTAAGTCCTTTGTTTACTATCCAAAACAAAATAACAAACTATTAATATCCTCATCATACATAAGGCTGCTATGCATGTATTCACTACCCATAAATACCAATCAGCTCATATACAGTTAATGAAAAGTTAGAGAAATTCTAAAATCCGCCATTTATATTCTTCTATATTTTGAAATCTGCACATTTCCTCTAGGTATCAGAGTTGTTCTTCTCCAGGTTCGATATCTCTATATCAAACCATGAACGTCTCTTTCTCCCTCCCACAATCAATACCACTTCAGTAACCCTTCAACAATCCATTAATCTTACCATCCCTCCCACACTTAAATTTCTAATGAGTAACACAAAACTTTCGTCGACCACCTCAAACACCAACCCACTTCATGTTCCCCCTCCTAATCCCATAAACCACATCCAATCAGCCACCATTTCCCATCACACACCTCCCAACCCCCACGCCACCTTCATCTCAAACCGATTCACCCCTTAAATCTAACCCATCCCCCATACCCGCCACCCCCACCGCCCACCCCAACTACCTAATATGCCACCTCAACCATCAACCAATACTCCACCACAACTATCTAAGCACCCCATGGTTACTATATCAATCTGGAAATCTCAAACCCAAATTGATCCTCAACCTTCTCCATCAACTCCACGCACCTTGGGACCCCACATCATTCACACTAACCTCCAAATCTATCATCTGGAGAACATCCTATGAATTCATGGCTCTTCAACAACAAGGGATTTTGTCCCTAGTTACTCCTCCAATTGACCAACCCATCTTGGGATGTCAATGGACTTTTAAAGCCAAATTCCATTCTAACGGATCCATTGCCAGATACAAAGCAAGGCTGATAGCTCAGGAACAAACTCAAGAATATGGTATCAACTATGAAGAAACATTTGGTCAAGTGGCTAAGATGTCCATGATCTGGGCACTCACTGCTCTTGCAACTCATCACGACTGGACTATTCATCAACTCGATATATCAAACGCCTTTCTCCAGAAAGAAGACTGCTTTGAATAGAAAACATTTTGATGGGCAAGGAACTCTAGCTCCGGAAGCAGAAATTGTGCAAATAAGATAGAAATAAATTAGGTTTAGCAATTAATATTAACCAAATAAATTAATATTGTATTTATTAAATTTGGGAAGTTGGTGTATTTAGTTTTAGTAATTAATATTAACCAAATAAATTAATATTGTATTTATTAAATTTGGGTAGTTGGTGGATTTACAAGGTTTTGGAGACCTGAAGTATGGGTAGTCATTATACCGTATCATTATTTACTAAGTTAGGTTAGCGTTTTCTTTGAATTAGTTCATTTGATGACCAAACGATTTCCCTAGCGTGACATGTATCTAGTCGAATCGAGCAGCTCGACGAGACTAATCCAATGGGCCTAAGATTGTCGAATTTTGATATCTTTAATAAAGACATTCAAATACCTAATAAACGGTTCACGAACAAGGGAATCAATATTTGTTGTCTTTTCAAACCAACTCCCAAAGTAATCTTGATCTTCGTTGCCCAGATATCAATCTTTCTAACAACTGTCACCAGTTGATTACAGTTCTTCTGACTTCCGTCGCTTGCTGATTATGATTTTGCTGACTAAACGAGAATACTGATTCTTCCAATTCTCATCATGTAATGCATTCTATATGATGTAAATTTGCTACATCAAACCAAGGCCTTCCCCTACAACACCTTGGTTGGTTGATTTTAATGATTGGAGAAGTCTATGGAAATTCACAAAGATATTGCCCCACACCATATAAGTGTGAAATTGCTTCGTAATGCTACTTTGCTATTCTCTTGCAATGGCACGAAGCAGCTTGGACGGCCCTTGCGTAATGTGGGGCAACCGCTGCATCTGTGCGTTGGTGCGTGGAATAAATAAATGGATCTTCATGATGGAAAGGAGAATCTGAGTTATTTCCTCTGTGCCCTCTAGTTCTTTGGTTTGACTGTTGGGTTTAGCAGTTTACTATGATGCAACATCTCACATATATGGCATTTATGTTTGTATTTAAGTTCTCAAAAGAGAAAAAAAATGATTGTTATGAATATAGTAAGGTTTGGTGATATATATGTGTTGCGTGCGAGAATATACGCGGCGGTAGAGTTTGTAAATTCGCGTCCTAGCGTTGTACGAGTATTCCGCACGCAAACAGAAAAGAAAATGTTAACACCAGGAGTTTTTACGTGGAAAACCCAAAAAGGGAAAAAATCACGGGGCCTCGCCCACTTGCAAAATTCCACTAGTATTTTCGTAAATTACAAATGGCGGATTTCGTCCCACAAGTTGGGATAATCCAAGTACAATTCGTTCCTTCCACGAAATTTACAAAATTCTGCGAATTCCTGGCGTTTCCTGAAAAATCCGGCAGAGTTCCGGCGTCTTCAGGCTGCAGGAAAAATTCCGGCGGCGGTGGTCGAGGAGGCGAGGAATCTCCTATTCCCCTTTCTCCTTCTCCTCCTCTTCTTCTTCTCTCTCTTCACTTGAGTCCCTTTGGTGTAGAATGAGGGCTCTATTTATAGTTTTTCTGGAGTGGCATAGCCCGTAAATAGGAGTGAGATCAAGGGCGAACAGGGAGTGGTTTGAATGGACGGCCGATATCGAATCCTTTGATCATGCACCGTTCGTTGGACATTTGAAGGTCTTAATGATGTCGGAATTCGATGATCTTGGGTTCGTTGGATTCGTCTCGTCGAGCCGTTCGATTCGAGTATAAGCTCGTCAAAATCGGAGACCGTTTGGTAACTCAAATTGCGGTTTGAACCTTCCAACAGCGCTTTGAACCCTTGATTCGGACTCATTTGGGCTTGGATTGGGTTGATCTTGGTGTCGTTGGGTTCGTATTTCCGAGACGCTCAGTTTGACTGTAGGCTCGCTGAAATCGGAGTTCATATGCTCCCGAAATTAATTTTTTAAGTTTCCAACTAGCTTTTTGCCTCGAGAATCGTGCCCGATCAAGATGATTTTGTGATGCCGTATCAATATGAAAATTAGATTGTTTTGAAAACCCTAAAAATATTATTTAATGTTTCACGTATCATTTTTTAATGAATTATTAGAGATTTTTATTTTTATGATCATATTAATAAAATTGAAGTTGGAGATACTTTTAAGAAAATAAAGTGGAAATGCCAAGGAGATCAAGTAATTTTTTTAGCTAAGTTTTTTAGTATTATTTTGATGACAAAAATGATGTTCAGATGAGTGGAGAAAAAGTGTACTGGTTAATTTTAAAATTAAATTAATGCACAAGAGTATGTGATTTATAGATAAATTAAGCTAATGTGCACATTAAAATTAGATTTGATTTGTGTTAAGAAAATTAGAGATAGACCTAAAAGGAATTGGTTAGAAAATATTTGAAATGATCTTTCTTTATTTGATTTTTAACCGGACACAATGGCGAAAAAGGATTCCTTTACCCGACCCCACATAGCTGGACAAAGGCTTGATGTTGTTCTTGTAGTAAGGTTTCGTTTGAGATGACTTTCTTACCTCTTTTTAAAGCAGTTTTCTTTAGCATGGGTTTGGACGCGATATCAATATTTTTCAAAAACAATTTGGATTCATGGCGGGTAGTTCTACTATGGAAGTTATACATTAGTTGAGAGATTTGATGGAGAAGTATATTTAGAGCAAGGAGGATCTACGTTTGATTTTTATTGATAAAAATGTTTTCTGTACGATTTAAGATACTTTTTTTCGACCTCTTTCTACCACTCGGTATCCTAACCTTCCTAACCTCAACATTTCCTTGAAGTTCAGTTAACATGGTACCCAAATTTTATGAATTCCAAGAATCTCTCTCCCTCTCAATGTTTGGATTGGGCAACGACGAAATCCATCGCAGGAGATCTTGCTCACCCTATGGTGGATCAACTATTCTTATACAGTGGCGATGGAGTAGCTTGGATGGCCCGTGCATCTGCGGGCAACTGCCACTTCCTTGTTTCTCTGGTAGGGATTTGATGGTTGGATCTGCTTGTTGATTGAACAAAGGTGAATCTGAGCCTATATCCTTTACCACTTCTCTATAAAAATATGTTTTATTTGTCCAAGGAAACTACTGACCACTTAGTGTGGATTATTTCTTACGATTTTGCCCAAGTTGGAGTCAATCCTTTTTCTCCGGCGCCACCGAGTTATCTATATATAAAAATGGAGGCCCAAAGACTCTTACCGAGTATTGCTCCACTCCCAAAAAAAAAAAAAAAAAAAAAAAAAAAAACCAATACATCCTCATTAAGCCCATCCAAAGAATCTATCAAATGCATTCTGAGAGATGCTGGTCCGGCAGCCATTTCCATGCCTAACTCAGCTGCAACCCCAAAGATGGATAGGGCACAGGCTGTTGCCTCTAAAGCTCTCAATGGTTCGACCGAGATGAAGGCAGCGATAAGGGCGGTGATGGCGCAGCCAGTTGCGGTGATCTTTTGCACCATGTAGTCACCATTTCGGGCACCGACAACCACATGACCATCTGTTATGTAATCAACATCTCCTGATACTGCAACAATGGCACCACTGGATCGTGATAGAGATTTTGCAGCTTCCACAGCATCAAAGGATTGATGGGAACTATCTACTCCCTGAACAGAGGTTTTTTATGATTATCAACGATTAGTGGATGATATAGAAGACCAACAGAGAAACTTTTCAGGGGTTCCATATGTAAGTAGAGTAATGATATATATTCTCCAAATACTTCCACACATAAATCCTTTTTTTGTTTCATTGGTAAGAGCATTTGTCCTTATAGAATTAGGGTTTAACAAGTGCTACATTTAACTGTTGTCAGTTCAAATGAGATGAAGTAGCATACAAGGCCGGCTATTTCATTGGAGTGAGAAAGCAATAGGTTGCCTTTTCATTATGTTGGTAAACAAATTGTTTTGCTTTATACTAATTCAAATCATAACATCCAATGAGATACAAAAGGTTTCAAAAAGGGAATATGATAATGAAAAAATAAAAGGGGTGAGGATATTTTAATCAGAACTTAATATGAATGTGTGCTCTAAGATGAATGTGTGCTCTAAAGCCCATTCTTCATATAATATTATTCCAAAGGCATAAAAAGAAGAATGCAAGCATTCAAATTTTGCTCAAACATGGAGAATTAAATATCTCCTCATTCCTTCAATCATTTTTAGACCTTTACTTATCTGGCAATTGTTATTAACTGTATGAAAACCACACCCAAAGCTGCTCACCAGCACAAACAGAGCTTAGAATAGTTTATATTGGAAAAAAAAAAAAGTGAAGCTTAGAAATATTTTATAAGGAAATTATTGTTGACCTCTTGCTGCATCATGAGATCTCTTGATTTGGATTCTAGTCTTCAATTCCTTGGCTCTTCATCCGAGTTTGAACCAACATATTTGGTAGTCTCAAGAACCTTTGGCCTAATTTATCCTAGCCCCTAGGAAAGTCTAAAAACCACTTTGGGGCCAAACACTTTCTACACGCAAGCGTTTACTAGTTTATAGATTAAACACATGAAAGTCTAAAAATCACTTTGGGACTCATTTTGTTATAGAAATTATATTGGAAGTTTTTTTTGGGAACATGACAAAATTATTGTCAGTTTTTTATGAAGTTCTAGTTTCCGATGGGTAAGTTACAATGAAATATCTATTTATAGCCCCCCCTTTATTACTCGCATTGGTTTCTCTTGCAATTCTCTTCAGACCACGACAAACAAACAAAAAAATCTGTCAAGAATATACCATTTTCTTGTAGTCATAGATTAAACACCTGATGAAGAGATTAGCGGGAACGAATGAAGAATGATGATTCATGCAACCAACAACAAATCATTAGGATAATCATAAACTTATGATGATGAAGAGAATATCGATGCTAATAAATTATCACATTTTAATCTGAATTAACATAGACCTTACTTTAAACTTCAAATAAATCTAGCTGAAAATGTTTATGGATGTAGCTTCATGTCAAGACTCTAATGAAATCGTAACTTGTGGAGTTATACACATTGTGTACAAGCTTGTAACAATGTGTATAACTCCACATGTGACGATTTTATTGGAGTCAAGATTTATACACATTGTATATACACAATGTGTGCAACTCAATGTCTCACGATTTCATTAGAGACCGAGCGCAGAGCTATGTCCGGACTTTGCACGTAATAATTAACAACAACAACACATGTGATGTCACATGTGCACACTACATCCTTTATGTAATATCCAAAACTAAATAACAAACTATTAAAATCCTCACTACACATCATGTTGCTATCCATGTATTCGCTACCTATGAATATCAAAGTAATCAACCCATATACGGTTAATGAAAAGTTAGAGAAATTCCAAAATATGCTACTATATTCTTTTGTGTTTTGCAACATGCACATTTCCTCTTGATATCAGAGCTGTTCTTCTCCAGGTACGATATCTCTATCTCAAACCATGAACGCCTCTTCCTCCTCTCCCACAATCAACACCACTTCAGTAATCCTTCAACAATCCACTAATCTTACCATCCCTCCCACACTTAAATTTCTAATGAGTAACACAAAAATCTTGCCGACCACCTCAAACGCACAACCCACCTTCACTTCCCACTCTGTCTCCATAATACCCGTCAACCACAACCCCAATCAGCCGCCATGCCCAGCATCTCACCATCAACCAATCCCCCTCCACAACCACCTAAGCTCCCCATGGTTAGCATATATCAAATCGGAAATCTCAAACCCAAACATATCCTCAACCTTCTCGATCAGCTCCACACACCTTTGGATCCCACATCATTCACACTATCCTTCAACACAAGGAAAATACTTTGATTCTATCAACAAACAAGAAAAACAAAGCAAGATATAACTTTCTTCAATTCGAGAGGAAGAAATACTCTCCAAATCTCTAGCAAAGCCTAAAGCCCAAACAAAACAAATCATAGATCTCAAAATTCAGTAAATCTCAAGATAACGAAACTCTAGCCTCCCTAAGACTAATTAAACCCAAAGGAAGCTTACTCTAAATAGACTTTATTCAATTCGAGAGGAAGAAATACTATCCAAATCTCTAGCAAAGCCTAGAGCCCAAACAAAACAAACCATAGATCTCAAAATTCAGTAAATCTCAAGATAATGAAATCCTAGCCTCCCTAAGACTAATTAAACCCAAAGGAAGCTTACTCTAAACAGCCCCTAATTCAAATTTTCCATCCTAAACACTCATTAATTAAGTCTTGGGCCCCACAAGGGCTTCCACCCCCTGGTTTCGCCCAAAACTTTGGGCCGCATGCTATAAACGTGAATCGGTCCTTGTTGGACCGGTTCAGTCGGCACCTCCTGAGCCAGCAACATAACAAATTCATGGCACTTCAACAACAAGGGACCTAGTCCCTAGTTCTTCCAATTCACCAACCCATCTTGGGATGTTGATGGACCTTTAAAACCAAACGTCATTCTGACGGATCCATTGCTAGATACAAAGGCTCATAGCCCAACAACACACTCAAGAATATTGTTCAACTTATAAAGAAACATTCAGCCCAGTGGTTAAGATGCCCATGATTCAGGCATTCACTGCTCTTGCAACTCATCGCGACTGGACCATTCATCAACTCGACATCTTAAAAGCCTTTCTCCACGGCAATCTTGAGGACACTGTCTACATGCAACAACATTCTAGAATCAAGGACCCCCAACATCCCAACCACGTGTGCAAACAACACAAAGCCCTCTACGGTCTCAAACAATCTCCCCGCTAGTGGTACTTCACATTCTCACAACACCTAACAACCCTTGGATTTGTGCCAAGCTCAGTTGACCCCTCCCTATTAGTCCATAAGACCGATCAGACACATATCTATCTTCTCGTTACGTAGATGACATTCTGCTCAGAGGTAACAATCCCCACTTCATAGCCAACCTTCTTCAACAATTTCGCACCAAATTTCAACTCAAAGATTTAGGCCCAATCTCCACCTTCCTTGGCATTCAATTCACCAAAATCAAATCTGGATATTTCCTAAACCATAAACAGTATCTCCTCAATATTCTAAATGACATCGGCATGCTAACTTGCAAACCCAATTCTACTCCCCTCTCCCCCAAGCCAATGTACAGCTCACCACCCTTCCCCGAACCCACCAAATATCGCAAGATTGCCGGCTCACTGTAGTATTTACCCCTTACTAGACCTGATATAGCCTTTGCAGTGAATCAAATCTGTCAATCGATGCAAGCTCAATCGGAAATGCATTTTCAAATGATCAAATGCGTCCTCCGCTATCTCAAGTGGGCGACTAACCTCGGCCTCACCATTGACCGATCCAACTTGACTCTCACCGCCTATACTGACACGGATTTGGGCAGCAATCACACTGATCGATGATTAGTTTCAGGCTACTGCTTCTTCCTCGGCACAACTCCCATACTTTGGAAAGCTCAGAAACAAAAAACAATCGCTTGGTCATCTACCAAGGCCGAATACCGAGTACTTCGCTGCCGCATCCTCAGAACTCATCTGGCTACGCTGCTTGCTATAAGATCTCGACATACCCATCGCATCTCCCACACCGCTGTTCTACGACAACACGTCCACCATCTCCATTGCAAAAAATCCGATCCTTCGAGCTCGCACCAAATACATTGAAATTGATCTCCATTTCATACGTGATCACATTACATTCAAACCTCTAATCATTCACCACGTCTTAACCACCAAACAGCTCGCCGACATACTCACAAAAAGTCTACCCATGTCTCGCTTTCATCACCTGAGAGACGAACTGCAAATTCAAACCTTAGAATCTACAATTTGAAGGGGACAAATAGCACCAACAACGCATGTGCACACTATGTCCTTTATGTATCATCGAAAACTGAAACAAACTATTAAAATCCTCATCACACATCACGCTGCTATGCATGTATTCACTACCTATAAATACCAATGTAAGCAGCTCATATACGGTTAATGAAAAGTTAGAAAAATTCCAAAATCTCCTACTGTATTATTCTCTGTTTTCCAACCTGCACATTTCCTCTATAGTTTCTCCATATATAGAGAGGCTATTTGGTTCAATGACATAAATAATACAATGTAATATAATTTCAAAATATCCACTATCTGATTCACTAATATCTTCTATTAGCATTTCATAAATCTTTGCTGTCAGCCAAATCGGTAATGATATCTAAGAATTGTGATAACATTTTAATATAATAACATTATATCAAATGTATTAAACAGATAATTTTGACATGCAATCATACTTAAATCATAATAATATCGATATCTTAATAACATTAAATCAAATAGCTCTTCGTGATCACTTAATATCATCAATTTATTATTATTTTTATTTTGCTAAAACAAAAAATGATAGGTGATTCGGCCCCATACCTTACTATTCCGAATCCTACGCGCCGAAGCCAGCCCTAGAATCTCCGATGCATTGCCCCTAATCACCGCCGGCCGAAGCTCCAGTAAGCCGAGGCAAGCCTCCATTCTGAAATCAGAAGCATTTACAGCAACAGGGTCGAGAACCCATGGCCGGCCGGCAGCCGCTGCCGTCGCAGCGGCTGCTCTCATTGAGGCAAGCCCGTCTTCGGAGAGGGTTCCGATGTTGATACAGAGGGCGTCGACACCAGGAGTGAAATCGGAAATCTCATCAATCGAACTGAGCATCGCCGGAGATGCTCCGGCGGCGAGGAGTACGTTGGCCATCAGATCCATGGAGACGACGTTTGTTATACACTGGATTAATGGGGCTCGTAATCGAAGCTTCTGAAGGAGTTCCCATGCCCGATGGCCCCATTGATCGTCCGGCAGAAGAGGCTCCGACGGCTGTGGAATCTTTCCGGCGGGGGCGTTAGGGGTAGCGGTGATGCCAGTTTGCCTGTCCATGATTGTGGAGGGAGAAGCTTCGCGCCGAGTTGTGAAAAGAGAAATGAAAATCCGCCCTTATATTGATACCAGCTAAGCATTTGAATTGACGGCCAATAAAAATTCTTCCTTTGTATTGATGGTCGATAAAAACTATGTCTTTAACAGCTAACCATTTCTATTTATGGTCCCAACGAGTGCTTGATTGACTAGAGCAATAACTGTTCCTTTAGTGGGGCCAATCAAATACAGCCTCGAAGATTTTTGAGGTGGGTCTTTTCTGGGTCAACCGAGAATTGCTCGTGTCGCCAAACACCCTTTTAAAAATGGCAGCACTTGAATACCCATTTCCAAAAAAAAAAAAAGTTTTTAAATTGATGCCAGCTAAGCATTTGTATTGATGGTCGATAAAGATTTGCTCAAATAAAAAAAACATTAAATTATTCTTAAATTTAATTAGGAAATTTATATGCATATTTTGGGAACATAAATTTATATGCATTAGTGCAAAACTCTATATATTTAATTTAATTTAATTTAATTTTGTACTAAAAAATTATTTTAAAAAACAATAAAAGTGATTCATCCATTGTCCGTAAAGTGAGTTAGAATTTTTCTTAGACTTAAATGCTTTTAATGAAGATTTATAAAGAACTAATCTATAACCAAACAACTCTCTACTTTAATTGTCCATGCATGATTCTCCGTTAGCTTTTAAGGTTAAAGTTTTGTTTGGTACGATTTTTTTACTATTTCTTAAAAAAAGCTTTCTAGTACAAAAAAAAAAATAGACTAAAAAACTGCTTTAAAAAGCAATAAAAAAGTCGTTGCAAACGAAGCCTAACTGTAAGAAGGCAATTACTATGTTTAAGGAGAAATGTCAGCTCTTACTGATATGACATCAGATTGGAGCTATAGCCTGAATGGATATGTGATGCGAGATACATAGTAGTTTTAGAGAAGCATAAAAAAATGAAAAATTATTTCGTCAGGTTACCTAACGTAGAGCTACAACAGGTAGCTTATAATATGTCACCACGTGCACTTACTCTTTACCGCGCGGCTCGAAGACCCAACTCGGACCAAATCCGAGATTACTATGTTAGCGTATTGCTCGGTATTGGTCTTCACATAATAGTATTTTTCATTTTTGTCGAGCAAAATCGACCAATACCTAGCAATACCGAGCTACGCAAACTCCCGGGTCCGTTCCGGGTCGGATCGTCGGGCCGCGCGGTAAAGTGTAAGTGCACGTGGCGACATATTATAGGCTACCTGATGTAGCTCTACGTCAGGTAACCTGACGGAATAATTTTTCTAGTAAAAGAGCCTACGCTTATCCATTGGGCTTTCATGCTCTATGAATTTGATTAAGAGATTAGAGGCAAAAGAGGTTAATAAAGGTTTAGCAGCGACTCTTTTATTGTTTCAAAAGCTTTGTATTAATGATAATTTACTAGACAAGCATTTTTTTTGTTCCCCCAATCTTTTAGGCTTCGTTTCCAACAGCTTTATTACTGTTTTATGAAGCAGATTCTTAGTAAAAGATTTTTTTGAATTTGAAAATTTTGTACTAAGAAGTTATTTCATAAAACAATAAAAAATTGTCTCAAATAAATCCTTAATATGATATGTTGACTATAAAAACTATTTTGTAATAAAAATTATCCCACCGGACCATTTATACCAACAAAAAAAAAAAAAATTAAGTTTTTACCTTTCGTTGGAAAGCATTGCTATTGAGAAGAATTAGTGCTTTGTAAGAATTACCTAATCTCTTCCCCACATTTCAATCCCAAATCCCTAACTGAGAGTTCACTTGGGACGGCTTTTTTAATACTTCTTAAATCATTTTTTTAGTACAAAAACTAAAAATTTTATACTAGAAAGCTGTTTTAAGAAGCAGTAAGAAAACTGTCCCAAATGAAACCTAAATTGACTCCCGCCTCCCTCTCATCATTACCCTACTCTTCTCGCGCGACCATGACCAACATCTGTGATAATAGCAGTGGTAGAAACCAATAATCATTGGCATTCAAAAAGAGCCTACGCTTATCCATTGGGCTTTCATGCTCTATGAATTTGATTAAGAGATTAGAGGTAAAAGAGGTTGTTGTGTCCAGGAGTATTTGCGGCGGTAGAGAAATATAAAGTTTAACGTCTTAGCGTTGTACAAAAATCCGACACGCAAACAGATGAAAGAGAGAGGTAACACTCCAAGAAAATTGACTTCCGCCTCCCTCTCATCATTACCCTACTCCTCTTCTCGCGCGACCATGACCAGCATTTGTGATAATAAGCAGTGGTAGCAACCAATAATCATTGGCATTCACATTAATTAATGATTTTGTTTATATTGTAATATTAAGGATCATTTGTACAACCACTTGTAACGTTTTACTTAGTAGTCAATATATGATAACATATTAGTAGGCAACACTCCTTCAAGAAAATTTATTGTTCTCTTGTTATCAAATAGAATCGTTTGGTTTTGTGACTGTTCACCACTATGTTTTTATTATTCACTACTGTGATTTTACTATTCACAGTCACAAAATAGAAACGTAATACTCTCTCTTTAAAAATGAGAGATATTATAATACTTAGGGATGTCAAAAATTGACCCGGCCCGAACCTGACACGAAAAAATCCGGGTTTAGTTCAACCCGTTTGTGAAAACGGTGTGTCCAAGTTTTTATTTTCGACCCGTTTGAAAAACAGGTCGAGTTCGGGTTGACCCAAAAATCCACATGTCGACCCGAAATGACCCATATGTCGTGTCAATCACTCAATCGATCACGGGTTGCATCGCAATCTGTCTCGTCTCTACCGCAGTCATGTCTCGACTCTTGCGTGAAGTCGTCAAGACGTCAATCGGTTGCATCGCTGCTAGCCACTGCCCTCCCGAGTTGCGCTTGCTCTGCTGACTTGCCCCCGACACGCCGTCCTGCATCGCTGCGGAAGAGTTGAAGATGCTTGCGACCGCGAGCTGTCACAAGCCTGGACGACAACGAGCTTCTGCTGATGCCAGCGAGCTACAGAGCCAAAGACACCTACCACCATCCCGTGCTCTGTTGGCCTGGAGCTGTCCTGCCTGAGAGCCGAATGTCGCCGTCCCTCCCTCGCGGGTCGGGTTGGGTCAACCCAGTAACCCGCACGGGTCGGGTCCCGGTTGAAAATCGCGCCCCATTTGCAAAACTGGTTCGGGTTAGTGTTGATTCGTTTAAGACCATGTCAAGTCGGGTTTGACTTGAACCCGACCCCATGACCCTAACTGACACCCCTAAATACTACTTTGCTCACATGACAGAGAAAAAAAATCATATTATAAAAAATGAGTGAAAAAACTATTAGTTGATACATCATCAAAAAATTATCTTGATCAAGCATGAATCTCAAGGTAAAATCAAATGGAAACTTTAGAAATTAAAATTGGGACCATCCAAACTCTGATTTCAACAAACTTATAGTCAAACTGAACGTCTCGGAAATACAAACCCAAATTCAACTCAATCTGAGCCCAAATGGGTCCAAATCAAGGACCCGAAGCGTTGTTGGAAGGTTCAAACCACAATTTGGATTATCAAACAGTTTCTAAACATGACATGTTCATATTCGAATCAAGTGGAATGACTAGAAAAATCCAACAAGCCCAAGATCATGGAATTATGAAATCATTAAGACCTTCAAATGTCTAAAGAATAGTCCACAATCAAGGGATTCAACATCGGCCGTCTATCCAAACCATTCCCTATTTACCCTTGATCTTCCTCCTATTTACGGGTTATGCCACTCTAGGAATTTTATAAATAGACCCCTCTAGGAATTTTATAAATAGACCCCTCTTTTCTCTTGAAAAGGGACCCCAAGGCAAAGGAAACAAGAAAGAGATCGGAGATCGCTCTTGCCTCCTTGCTCCTCCTCGACCATCATTCGGAGTTCCGCCGGACCACCGCTTAACACTGGAGTTCCGCCATACCACAACTTGAAGCCTGGAGTTCAGTTGGACCACCACTTGAGTCTTGGAGTTCCGTCGGGCAACCACTTGAGGCCTGGAGTTTCGTCGGACCACCACTTGAGGCCTGAAGTTTCGCTGGACAACCACCTGACGCTGGAGTTCCACTGAACCACCTCGGACCACTACTTGAGGCTCGGACTTCCACCTACGACTTGAGGCTCGGAGTTTCGCTGGACCACCCCTTAACGTTGGAGTTTCGCCAGACCACTACTTAACGTCTTAGCGTTGTACGAAGATCCAGCACACAATCAGATAAGTGAGAGGATGTAGCATTCATAAGTAACATCAGAGTTTTTACGTGGAAAACCCCTGAAAAAGGGGGAAAAACCACGGGGCCTGGCCCGGTTTGAATGAATCCACTAGTATTTGTAGTCGATTACAAATGAGGCCCTTCCTTAGGAGAAGGCCTTGGATTGATGTAGCAAATGTACATCATATAGATTGCATTACATGGTAAGAGTTATATATACAGGTTTGTTTGGCCTGAAGGACCGTAGTCGGCAGGAGACCGTAGTCGGCCGGAGACCGTAGTCGGCCGGAGACCGTAGTAGGCCGG